CCCTCTCTGTTTCATGTTCTCTTCCATAGTCCCTCTTGTTTCTCATGTCAGTCATTAGTCCCTCTCTGTTTCCTCCATGTTCCCTCAGTCCTCATTAGTCCCTCTCTGTTTCCTCCATGTTCCCTCAGTCCTCATTAGTCCCTCTCTGTTTCCTCCAGGTTCTCTCAATCCTCATTAGTCCCTCTCTGTTTCTTCCATGTTCCCTCAGTCCTCATTAGTCCCTCTCTGTTTCCTCCAGGTTCTCTTAGTCCTCATTAGTCCCTCTCTGTTTTTCTTCCATGGTCCCTCGATCAGCGTTAGTTCTTTGCAGGGACAGGTTTTGGGAAGGTCATTGTCTTCTTACACTTTAATCCTCTGTACTGCAAATAGCTGAAGGAAAGCTACATTGGATTCAACTTCTGTAGTTTACTTTTTATACTGACATCGAATGATGAACTGCAATGTGTTTACTATGTTGTTTGGTATCTTCCTCTGTCTGTTTAGTGCTAGGTGGTTCAGTCCTCACTAGATCCTCCCATTTCTTCCATGTTCCCTCAGTCCTCATTAGTCCCTCTCTGTTTCCTCCAGGTTCTCTCAGTCCTCATTAGTCCCTCTCTGTTTCTTCCATGTTCCCTCAGCCAGTGTTAGTTCTTCACAGAGACCAGGGTACAAACGTCATTGTCTTCTTCCGCTTCAAAAGACCGGAACTACATCCTTTGTACTGCAATTAGCTGAAGTAACATTGCATTGGACTTAACTGTGTCTTTTTGAAGAGTTACGCTGCCTGTGGATGCTGCCAAGTCAGCAGGTGACCATGCTTTCCAGACAAACTGGGTCTAAGGAGGTATGTCAATGCAGAAAGGGGAATTTGAAACAGAGCACCTGCTGAATTTTTATTTAAACTTCGTCTCTTATTCCTCACATTCCTCCGTCTCGGCGATCTTCGGGGACAGATGACGGGTCACATATTTGGCTTATTACGCTGTCAGTGTAGGATGACATTGAACACGGAATTGTTCGATCTGCATGTTGTCCTCCTGGAAGACGGATCTCTCCCTTGGGCCGCAGCGGAGCTCTACCTCACAGCGGAATCACCGCAAACCGCTCGATTGAATGCAGATGTTGTCACAGGATACAGACAATGAGAGATGGATGGAGGATGGGAGTCCAGCGAAGGAAGACGATATCAATAGATATTATTATACACGGCTCAAAAAATGGAGGGAAGACTTTGTAAATGAAGTCTGGCATCAAGTCCATGAACCTCCTGGGATATGGATCCGGTCAGGGAAGGCGCAGAGGGGGTTGTTCATCAGTTTCCGCTGCTTTGGTGTTCATGAAATTACCAACAGGGGCACTAGATGGGCAACAATGAGACGACCCCCAAAACAGGAATGGTTTTACAGGTGGAGGACACTGACATTTTTCCCTCCTCATCTTTTCTGACTGTTTTTCACTAGTTTTGCATTTGGCTCGGGTCAGTGTCACTACTGGTACCATGAGGCCATACCTGGACCCTACAGAGGTTGCACAGGCAGTCCAACTCCTCCAGGATGGCACATCAATACCTGCCATTGCCAGATTTGCTGTGTCTCCCAGCACAGTCTCAAGAGCATGGAGGAGATTCCATGAGACAAGAGCATGGAGGAGATTCCAGGAGACAAGAGCATGGAGGAGATTCCAGGAGACAAGTGCATGGAGGAGGTTCCATGGAGGAGGAGACGAGAGCATGGAGGAGATTCCAGGAGACAAGAGCATGGAGGAGATTCCAGGAGACAAGAGCATGGAGGAGGTTCCAGGAGACGAGAGCATGGAGGAGATTCCATGAGACGAGAGCATGGAGGAGATTCCAGGAGACGAGAGCATGGAGGAGATTCCAGGAGACAAGAGCATGGAGGAGATTCCAGGAGACAAGAGCATGGAGGAGATTCCAGGAGACGAGAGCATGGAGGAGGTTCCAGGAGACAAGAGCATGGAGGGGATTCCAGGAGACAGGCAGTTCCTCTAGGAGAGCTGGACAGGGCCGTAGAAGGTCCTTAACCCATCAGCAGGACTGGTATCTGATCCTTTGTGCAAGGAGGAACAGGATGAGCCCTGCCAGAGCCCTACAAAATGACCTCCAGCAGGCCACTGGTGGGAATGTCTCTGAGCAAACAATCAGACACAGACTTCATGAGGGTGGTCTGAGGGCCCGACGTCCTCTAGTGGACCCTGTGCTCACTGCCCGGCACCACAGAGCTGGATTGGAATTTGTCATTGAACCCCAGAATTGGCAGGTCCACCACTGGCTCCCTGTGCTTTTCACAGATGAGAGCAGGTTCCCCCTGAGCACATGTGACAGACATGAAAGGGTCTGGAGAAGCCGTGGAGAACGTTCTGCTGCCTGTAACATGGTTCAGCAGTTTCCCCTCCTGCCCACCCCTTGTCCTGGCCCTGTCTGTCACACTGGAGGGATCATCTGATGAGAGGACCATCAGATGACCATATTCCCGGCTCTCAAAAGTGTAGGACTTGTGTAGGTAGAACAGCTGCCCCTCTTGCCCACCACTTGTCCTAGTTCTGCCTGGCATACTGGAGGGATCATCTGATGAGGTCGTCAGATGACCATATTCACGCTTCTCAGTCCTGTAGGACTTGTTGCCCACCCTTTGTCCTGGTTCTGCCTGTCATACTGGAGGAATCATCTGATGAGAAGGCCGTCAGATGACCATATTCCCAGTTCTGTCATGTAGGACTTGTGGCCCACCCCTTGTCCTAGTTCTGCCTGGCATACTGGAGGGATCATCTGATGAGAAGGCCGTCAGATGACCATATTCACGCTTCTCAGTCCTGTAGGACTTGTTGCCCACCCTTTGTCCTGGTTCTGCCTGTCATACTGGAGGAATCATCTGATGAGAAGGCCGTCAGATGACCATATTCCCAGTTCTGTCATGTAGGTCTTGTGGCCCACCCCTTGTCCTAGTTCTGCCTGGCATACTGGAGGGATCATCTGATGAGAAGGCCGTCAGATGACCATATTCACGCTTCTCAGTCCTGTAGGACTTGTTGCCCACCCTTTGTCCTGGTTCTGCCTGTCATACTGGAGGAATCATCTGATGAGAAGGCCGTCAGATGACCATATTCCCAGTTCTGTCATGTAGGACTTGTGGCCCACCCCTTGTCCTGGTTCTGCCTATCATACTGGAGGGATCATCTAATAAGAGAGCCATCAGATGACCATCTTCCCTGTTCTCAGTCGTGTAGGACTTGTGTAGGACTTGTTGCCCACCCCTTGTCCTGGTTCTGCCTATCACACTGGAGGGATCATCTAATGAGAGAGCCATCAGATGACCATATTCCCGGTTCTCGGTGGTGTAGGGTCTGTGTAGAGGGTAACAGCAATATTGTAAAGAACTCTCAGCGCACTATTGGCTAATCTCCAGTGATATTAGAACAAACAGACAAAAAGTCTAAAAGTCCCAGTGAAGTCCTTAACTGTGTAACCGCTTTAGATGGCAGCCATCCCAGAGTGAGCCAACTCTATGTGCATGATAGGAAAGAAAAGAGGAGAGGCGCCTTCTAAGTGCAGTATTAAAATGGTTTTTAGTAAGCCACAAATGTAAAAACTCACAAAAATGGGCGGTAAATTAGCCCACTATTAAGGTTAGCTGTAGAGTCGTCTTCCGTGTCCTGCAGGGATCCGTCCGGTGGGGTGATGCCCGCCATGGGTGGTGGAGGAGATCCCAGAGCATTGTGGATGGCCCGGAGTCTCAGGAACTGAAAGAATGTTTCTCATTGCCGAACTTCCTCCTGTGTAACGTCACGTCCGCCCGGCTTGTGGTTCAGCCTAGATCCAGTCACTTCCGGTTCTGGTTTGGTCGATATTTCCTGAGACTCCTGGCCATCCACAATGCTCTGGGATCTCCTCCACCACCCACGGCGGCCATCACCCCACTGAACAGATCCCTGAAGGACACGGAAGACGACTCTACAGCTAACCTTAATGATGGGCTAATTTACCGCCCATTTTTGTTAGTTTTTACATTTGTGGCTTAATAAAAAAACCGTTTTAAGATTGCACTTAGAAGGCGCCTCTCCTCTTTTCTTTCCTATCTTGTAGACGGGTGCTGATTTTCTGCATTTGAAACCTTCAGATTTCCACTTCCTTTGAGGGTGGAGTGCGGAGGACAGGTGTGACGCTGCATTAGCATTGTGCTCCTTTGGATGCAGGAGGTCCCATTGGGACCCGTTGGTGTCAGGTCCAGTGCAGCCCCTCGTGCATTTCACATTCAGAAGCGTTTGGTAGAATGGAAATAAAATGCAAAATTCATCATTCACGCACAAAGCCTCTATAAGTCCATAACAAGTATGACATCATTGCATGGTCGCCCCCACCAAACATGACTGCCCCCCGATGCAAGAGATTGTTCAGGAACCCATGAAATTTTGCGGGAAACGGGGAAAATCGCTGGATCTCCGCAATGTTGTGAAAACGACGACCTTTATGCTGGATCTTCATCTTCGGGAAGAGGGCATTTTTGGGGGGTTGAGCTCCTTGAAGGTCTTCCTGATCTCTCGTCGTCTTCCAGTGATGTTCTTCCGCTCTCAAAGCATGTGTGCCACTCAAATCACCTCGAACGACCCATTGCGGCATCGCTGTAAACTTGCCGAATCGTGTCAGATGTCTCTGTGGCAGATTCACGCAGAATTTCACATTTGCTCTTTGTTCTAACTTCCTGTCCAATTATGAATTAGCAGACGTGGTAACGTGGTCAGGGCAGCACCAGTTGCACAGCTCCTGATGTACACGGGACGATGTCTTTTGGCACACTGACTTATGAAGGCCAGTGCTCCCTGTGGCTGTGCGTGCAGCTTGGTGTTGCCATCTGTTGGTGTGCTGCAATACTAGTCTCCAAACTTTTTGATACCTCCTCGTAGATTTTATGGCTGCAGAAATCCATTGAGGCTGGTGGCGTCATTGGTCTAGTGTTGCCCCCTGCTGATGCGTTTCGCCCTCAATCTGGCCTTAGTTATAAGGCCATCCTCAGTCCTAATGCAAGCGGTAGGCGGGGTCTTGGGAGGACTTATGCAAATATCAAATGTCTTGATGGATGTCTGTCTGCAGCAGTGGGCGTGCCTAGGCTGGCTGTACTTGCATAGGTAATGCCCACATGTCATGCGGAGCCTCCGTGATTGAAAGATTTGAAATCTAATGGATGAAAGGGGTGGGGCCAGGGACAATCAGACTGAAGGGGAGGAGCCGGTACACCTGTGCAAGACTGAAGGGGAGGAGCCGGTACACCTGTGCAAGACTGAAGAGGAGGAGCCGGTACACCTGTGCAAGACTGAAGGGGAGGAGCCGCAAGACCTGTGCAAGACTGGAGGGGAGGAGCCGATACACCTGTGCAAGACTGAAGGGGAGGAGCCAGTACACCTGTGGAAGACTGGAGGGGAGGAGCCGGTACACCTGTGCAAGACTGAAAGGGAGGAGCCAGTACACCTGTGCCAAACTGAAGGGGAGGAGCCAGTACACCTGTGCCAGACTGAAGGGGAGGAGTCGGTACACCTGTGCAAAACTCAAAACTGAAGGGGAGGAGCTGGTACACCTGTCCAAGACTGAAGGGGAGGAGCTTGTGCACATGTGCAAGACTGAAGGGGAGGAGCCAGTGCACCCGTGCAAGACTGAAGGGGAGGAGCCAGTGCACCCGTGCAAGACTGCAGCTGAGGAGCTGGAGTTCAGCTCTGACATTAGAAGACAGAGAAGTCAGAGAAAACGCAGCAGTGGAGGGCGGGGCGATGAGTTCATCAATTTGGGAGCTCTTCGGTAGAAGGAGCTCAGACAGATGGGAAGTTCTTGTGTCCTCTGGGGGAAGAAGACAAAATTCTATCCAAGTCCAATGTGAGACTTCCTCTGATGGGAGCCAAAAACCGATCAGCACGCCATGATGTCATCCGCCAAATCATCGCTCATACAGCTGTGCAGGAACCACGGGACCTCTGTCAGGCGATGAGTGTGTATGAAGGCTTCTCTTAGATCTGGATAGAGAGGTGAGGGGTTAGAACCCCTGCCTTTCCCCGTTAGGGAGATTCACATACCGAATTCTCCTGATCACCAGTGTCACAAGGAATGGAAGTGAGGGGGCATTCAAAATAATGAGTTACTGCCAGAGAGGAAACCTTCCCATGGGGACACCTGTTACCATGGAAACATACCTGAGAGGGGAATTTGTTCACATTGGAAAGATAATCTCTCACTTCCTGTTGGGTCTACAGGACAGGAAGTGGAGGGAACTCTCCCTAATAAGACATTATTATTAGCAGGTTCCTCCTACTTCATGGAAAATTGCTCCTCTTTCAGCTGCTACATAAAAGGTTATGCAGGGTAGTGAAGGGCGAGGTGGAGGCGCTGGGCCAGCACAGACAGTAATTCCACACCTGCAGGAAGATGAGATCTGTTCGTTTCGATGCTCCCCTGGCTGTACCGGCCAGGGAATGGAAGATCTGAAACCAAAAATGACAAAACCCTCATCGCTTCTGGTTTCCTTCTGTTTGCCCCACCCTGAAGTGGCTGAATGCGGTCCCGTCCTGGGCTCCTGGTAAGGGTGGGGGGAGCCTGGGAACTGCGCTGGGGGGAACACCATGCCACCCACACAGGGAAAGTGACCAGCAACTATATAGGACCACTTTCACTTTCCAGCTGGGAGCCGGCAGATGTCTTCTATTGTGGCCACCAGCTTGTGCTGAACCCTTCACTAGGTGAACCAGTTAGATAACCTGCTTGGGGGATGCCGGGAACCAGCACGTGTTGTTATGGGACAATACAACATAGACCTTTAAAAAATCGGTATGAGGTTCCCCTTAAAATTCCAACCAGGCCCTTATTTAATGTGGCAAGGGAGGGGAGGGCAACATGCAGCTCTTCCCCCCTGCCCATTCTTTACTTAACCACACCAGGCCAAATGCCTTACAACATTTGGGGGTACCTTGGACTGGAAGCAGCCAAGCCCCCCACCACCCACTTGAGCAAGCTGAGGGGACAAGGGCCTCTTCCCCACATTGGATACCCCTAAGAGGATGTGGGGGTTTGCAGGGGTATCTTATAGGAATCTAGAAGCCCCCTTTAGGAGAAGGGGGCTCCCCAGATATCGGCCCCTTCCCAAAGGAAAGGGAACAGTAATATATTTGTACCCTTAACCATTCCCACAAAGAGTTACAAAAAATAAAGGTAAGTGATGTTCCCCAATGTAAATCCATCATCAATCATATTCTCCAGCCACTTGAGGACGTCTTACTACCACCAGGATGACCCTCTTCCCAACAATGTTTCACCAGCACCAGGATGACCCTCTTCACAACGTTGTTTCACCACCACCAGGAGGATGTCACACCACCACCAGGATGACCCTCTTCCCAACGTTTTACAGGATGACCCTCTTCCCATTAATGTCTCACCACCACAGGATGACCTTCCCATGTCTCACCACCACCAGGATGACCCTCTCCCATTGATTTTCACAAATATGTCTCATGTTTCACCCCCCCAGGATGACCCTCTTCACAAAGATGTCTCACCACCCCCAGGATGACCCTCTTCACAAATATGTCTCACCACCCCCCAGGATGACCCTCTTCACAAATATGTCTCACCACCCCCCAGGATGACCCTGTTTCCAATGATGTTTCACCACCACCAGGATGACCCTTCTTCCCAGCAATGTTTCACCACCACCAGGATGACGCTCCTACCGACAATGCTTCACTGCCACCAGGATGACCATCCTCAGGATGACCCTCTTCTCAAATAATGTTTCAACATTACCAGGATGACCCTCTTCCCAATAAGGTTTCAATGCCATCAGGATGACCTTCTTTCCAACTATGTTTCACCACCACCAAGATGACCCTCTTCCCAACAATATTTCATAACAACCAAGATGACCCTATTTCCAACAATTTTTAACCATCCCCAAGCTGTCCCTGTTCCCAGTGATGTTTCACCTCCACCAGGATGATTCTCTTCACATTCATGTCTCACCACCACCAGGATGACACTCTTCCCAATGATATTTCACCACCACCAGGATGACCCTCTTCCCAACGATGATTTACCACCCCCAGGATGACCCTCTTCACAATGATGTCTCACACTACCACCATGACGACCCTCTAACCAATGATGTTTCACCACCCCCAGGACGACCATCTTCACAATGAGGTGTCACCACTGCCAGGATGACCCTCTTCCCAGTGACATTTCCCCATCACACTACTGTCACTAAATTACAGATCCTTGGCATGGCTGCAGTACAAACGACCCTGGAGATCCTGGGTGACATCATTGACCAAACCCAGTCATGGCCATATATAGTCAATGACACTTCCCGGGATTGCAGATTGTTTGTTTACAAACAGGACGGCAAACTGGCCAGCTTTGGTCAAAAAAGGTAATTTTTCTGCCCTTTCAGCTGCATTTTTTGCCATAGGGCCTCTTCAATTAACATACATCTGGATGAAGTAGTAAACGTTCTGGCGTTCAGATGACATTCCGTCTTCATATTAAATAAAACATTGCCCGGTGTCGACCCTTTTCACAGAGAACGAGGTGAGTCATAAAGAAACGATTGTGAAAATATTCGTGCATCAAATGAAAACAAAGTATTCGGCCAGAACATATAAATGAAGTCTTTCCAGAAGATTTACTGGATCATAAAATCTGCTGAAAGGTCAACACGGTCCGCCGTACAGAAACATGGTGGCCGGCGGCGGCAGAGATGAGGGAAGACTTTGATATAAAGCCTCTTATTCAGATTTCATGTCAAATAAAGACCTAAAAACCCACAATGGGCGGCCCCGGCGGTGAAGTCACGTTGAGGTTTGGCAGATGAAAGGAGATGACGGGAGAGGTGAATTTGATACAAAGTATCTGCTCTGTTTTCATTGGACTCCACCAAGAATTACCGATCGGGGATTATCTTCACAGCCGCGCAGACCTCCACCCAACACACAATCACTGGAGATCTGGCAACACTCCACCCAACGCACAATCACCGGAAACCTGGCAACGCTCCACCCAAAGCACAATCACCAGAGACCTGGCAATGCCTCCACCCAAAGCACAATCACCAGAGACCTGGCAACACTCCACCCAACCCACAGTCACCGGAGACCTGGCAACACTCCGCACACCGTACAATCACCAGAGACCTGGCAACACTCCACCCAACCCACAGTCACCGGAGACCTGGCAACACTCCACCCAACCCACAGTCACCGGAGACCTGGCAACACTCCACCCAACCCACAATCACCAGAGACCTGGCGACACTCCACCCAACGCACAATCACCAGAGACCTGGCAACACTCCACCCAACCCACAATCACCGGAGACCTGGCAACACTCCACCCAACCCACAATCACCAGAGACCTGGCGACACTCCACCCAACCACAATCACCGAGACCTGGCAACACTCCACCCAACCCACAATCACCGGAGACCTGGCAACACTCCACCCAGCCCACAGTCACCGGAGACCTGGCAACACTCCACCCAGCCCACAGTCACCGGAGACCTGGCAACACTCTACACAATCCACACCACCGGAGACCTGGCAACACTCCACCCAACCCACAGTCACCGGAGACCTGGCAACACTCCACCCACCGCACAATCACTGTCGACCTGGCAACACTCCACCCACCGCACAATCTCCGGCGACCTGGCAACACTCCACCAAGCGCACAATCACCGGAGACCTGGCAACACTCCACCCAACGCACAATCACCGGAGACCTGGCAACACTCCACCCAACCCACAATCACCGGAGACCTGGCAACACTCCACCCAACCCACAATCACCGGAGACCTGGCAACACTCCACCCACCGCACAATCACCGGAGACCTGGCAACACTCCACCCAACCCACAATCACCGGAGACCTGGCAACACTCCACCCAACACACAATCACCAGAGACCTGGCAACACTCCACCCACCGCACAGTCACCGGAGACCTGGCAACATTCCACCCAACCCACAGTCACCGGAGACCTGGCAACATTCCACCCAACGCACAATCACCAGAGACCTGGCAACACTCCACCCACCGCACAATCACCGGAGACCTGGTAACACTCCACCCACCGCACAATCACCGGAGACCTGGCAACACTCCACCCACCGCACAATCACCAGAGACCTGGCAACACTCCACCCACCGCACAATCACCAGAGACCTGGCAACACTCCACCCAACCCACAGTCACCGGAGACCTGGCAACACTCCACCCAACCCACAATCACCAGAGACCTGGCAACACTCCACCCACCGCACAATCACCAGAGACCTGGCAACACTCCCACCCAACCCACAATCACCGGAGACCTGGCAACACTCCACCCACCGCACAATCACCAGAGACCTGGCAACACTCCACCCAACCCACAATCACCGGAGACCTGGCAACACTCCACCCAACCCACAATCACCGGAGACCTGGCAACACTCCACCCAACCCACAATCACCAGAGACCTGGCAACACTCCACCCACCACACAGTCACCAGAGACCTGGCAACACTCCACCCAACCCACAATCACCGGAGACCTGGCAACACTCCACCCACCCCACAATCACCGGAGACCTGGCAACACTCCACCCAACACACAATCACCGGAGACCTGGCAACACTCCACCCAATGCACAAATAACCG